ACTGATTCCATCACCTCCAGGGAAATAGAAGGGGAAGATATGGAGGCAGTGACATATTTCACTTTCTTGGTTCCATGATCACTGCAGATGGTGACAGCAGCCACGAAATTAAAAGACTCCTGCTTCTTGGGAAGAAAGCGATGACAAACCTAGACAGCATCTTGAAAAGCAGAGATATCACCTTTCCAACAATGGTCCACATAGTTAAAGCTATGGTTTTTCCAATAGCGATGTATGGAAGTGACATCTGGACCATAAAAAAGGCCGACCACCGAAGAATGGATGCTTTTGAATTGTAGTGCTGGAGGAGTCTCTTGAGAGTCCCCTGGACTGCAGGGAGATCAAACCTATCCATTCTGAAGGAAATCAACCCTGAGCGCTCACTGGAAGGACAGATCCTGAAACTGAGGCTCCAATACTTTGGCCATCTCATGAGAAGAGAAGACTCCCTGGAAAAGACCCTGATGTTGGGAAAGTGTGAAGGCAAGAGGAGAAGAGGACAACAGAGGATGAGATGGTTGGACAGTGTCATTGAAGCTACCAACATGAATTTGACACAACTCCAGGAGGCAGTGGAAGACAGGAGGGCCTGGCGTGCTCTGTTCCATGGGGTCAAGAAGAGTTGGACACGACTTAACGACTAAACAACAACAATTCTCAGTGTTAACTTTGTTTTCATTAACATCCTCCTCAAGGATTTCTAGGTGTACCAATTTAAAATTCTGCATCTATCCACTGGTACTAGATACTGTATAGATAAACATATTTAGATGTCTTAAATGGTTGTGGAGTTGAAATATGTAATAGGGATTACTAAAGACATAGAATGTGTTTTCTTTTTCTGTGCATCTTTTCAGACTTATAGAAAGTCATTCAGAAGACCCTCCACTTCAGGGAGCTTTTTTGGGCTGATAGATGGAATAAAATACCTAAATAAAAAATAAATGCATCTGAGACTAATTTTATTTCTGTAGTGCTGATGTAGCTGTAGTTTGTCCATGCACCATATATTGCAGGGATTGGGATATATGGAATTCTGATACTGTTTGTTTCTAGCTCTTAACAGCCTAGCTAGCATAAGCAACAGTTGAGAAAAATGGGAATTGCAGTCCAACAACCTTTAAATACCACATACTAGGATGAATCTATACGAATCTTTTTGGTGAATGTTGTCATAATGTAAAACAAAATATGTTTTTTTAATTTCACATTTTCAAGCATATATATTTAGTGTAAAATTATGTAGCTAGAATTTACATTTAGTTTTTAACTGGTTATTTCCTTTCTATAATGGCATGAAGGGAACTCAGAACTACTTCAACTGCAGCAATAAAAAAGACTGAAGTATCACCTAATAAATCTTGAAGACTTATGGCCTTTCTGTTCCTTCTCTTAGAACAGATAACTTTTCCATCTTTTTCAGTAATCTTGCTTTCACAAGGTCTTCGGTGCCATAGATTACTATGAAATATGTTACATCAATTAATATACTTCAGAATATGTGGCACAATATGTAGCCACTACTGTGTCCTAAAAGCCCTACTCTTGATACATATTCCTTTCTTTTCCTTTTTCTTATATCCATTGTGTCTACGTGAATGAGTTCAGCTATATGAATCATAGAATTGATTCTTCATTAATGACTAATGTGCTTCTTGACTTAAACTATGACCTATATCATTGTGTCTCCACAACAAGTTGTTTTAGTTTCCATACCATGGTCTTGCAGTTCTTCATTGCCAAGAATAGGAAACAAACATCTGTAGATAAAAGGTCTTTCCCTTCCCATAGCGAGGACTATAACAAATATGCTACTGAATCAGACTCATTGCTCTTTACCTTTGCAAACATATATATTTCAGTATGACTGTTGCATCTTCCTTGCTGGTGGGAAATTAGGTTTTTCTGAACAACTGAATGCATGATTTTTAATTCCAATTTTTCTCCAATAATTTTTCTGCTTCCATTTTTACTACAGTATATTGGCATGCAGTCGATTTAGTCAGCACATAAAATGAATAATTTCTCACTCTCAAGGAAGAAAGAGTGAAGGTTGACACTGACCATAATGTCTAATGTTTAATTAAAGAGTTGTAACTTGAAATTTTATTGTAATACTGGAAAAAAGTGTATTGAATTTTTTGGTATGAATTATCTTGTTGATATATGTTGGGTATGTATATTATCGAGTAGGAGAGGCATTGAAACAAAATAGGAATTTTGAATGAATAGATAAAATCAATATTTTGACGTAATGGGTAATTCTTTTTCATTTGGAAATTATGCAGATAGCTCATCAGTGTGAAAAAAAATCTAATCCCAATCTATTATGCATGACAGTGCTCTAGAATACAACAAACTTTTGTTCCGTACCTAACGCACTCTTTACTGTGGTTCTGCTGCCACTTTTCTTTCTGATCTGATGGACACATTTAAAGGACTTGTGAATCTCTTAACTCAAACAGATAACAAGTATATACAACATCAGCGCCATTTTTTACAAGATACTTCATTGATGATTGTTTCTGCTTTTATTGTTTCTCTTACAAAACAGTTTCAGGAGCAGTTGAATCTAAGATCTCTTACAGAAACAATCTCTAATTTGTACTCATCTATAGTTGTGTTACTTTACATTTGCTGTCACTCTGTATCTGTGATTTGAAGCATTCCTTCAGAATTGATAATTTTTGTTTTTTTCAGAGAATTTATCTGACCTAAAAAGAGGGGAAATTGTACATACACAAAAAATGGGATAGGGCCTCTCTGCATCTGCCAGCTTTCTCAAGATACAAATATTTTTAGCCTTTTCTCAAGCCCAATATCTTCAGTTTTCTTTCAAAAGACAAAATTTCATTCTAAAGACAAGCAACAGACGTTTATCTCTTTGGATACAGATTTATTCTCAGCGATTTCTTTTTCACAGACTTGGCTCCTGGCCTCTGATTTCTCCATCCGTTGCTCCACATTCACCATACGCCTGTCTAGTTTCCCAACTTTTGATGAGAGGTTCTCTGCTTTGCCTTCCATTGAGGACAGTGTATCATGCACTGTCCTGAATTTACATGAAGTGACTTCATCAACTTAAGGGGGGATCTGCTGTGCTGCACTGTGGAGGAAACCATCGAATTCCTGAAGACAGACAAGATGCTGACATCATGTAATGCCAGGGCAGAGAAATAAATGGACTAAAGACATTGTACCTCCTATGTTCAGGGCATAATTTGCTTCAATTTGAAATCCTAGCTGTAACTTGAATGAGCTGATCCAAGTGATGATGGTGAACATCAAGATAGCAGTTTTCCATGTTCTTTTTCACCCATATTTCACATCTATTACATTCTTTGACCTGATTATTATTTACATAAAGAATATGCCATAATTTATTTCATACTTAGATTGTTCTATAGTGTAGTGTCATTTCAGCAATAGATTTCTGTGAGTGGAACGGTATCAGTAACTATTTATGGTAGATACACTATACTACAGAAACAAAACAAATTCCAAGTTATAACGTTCTTTATCTCAAAAGAAGCGTTAACATGTTAGAGTACGTCCTCTAGTTCTACCTCTAAAATGTTTGGGATATGATTTTAACAAAAAATAATAATGGGTGTGCACGCTTCTAAGACTTTTCATATGAAACAAAGGTATGCTTAGTGTATAGAGAGATTGTATTCCCCCACGTAGAACAGAAAATTGGCTTGGTTTAATACACTATAGCTCTGTATTATGTTTTTGTTCATTGCTTGTGTATGTTTTACAAAGGTTCTATACCATAATTCTCTTTTGAGAATTGTTGGTATCACATGCAGAGTAATATATGTTGCAGAATTGTTGAACATGAAAGGAAAGTAACATCAATTGATTTTCAGTTTAATAATGTACTTATGTAAACAAGTAGTTGAGATTGCATTGTCCTTTTACTTCATTTTTAGTAATTTGTTTTTGAACAAGATCTAGAACATTTCAATTGGATTAGTGTTCTCTTGATATATGTCTCATTTTTAAATACACTTTATGGATTTGCAGGCATTACTTCTTACAATTAGGACAGAAACTGATTTCATAGCACAGTTGGAGGAAGATATCTTAGGCAAAATATTCTTCATAAAAAACTCCATACTAATGTAAATATTTTCTGGATTAAATGTTAGAAATAGGCCTGACATTGGCTAATTTTATGAATAACTGAATCTATCTATATTGACTTGAGAAGCCACACTTACACAAGTTGATTTCAGAAGCTCAAGCTCTGTTTTGATCTCTCCAGTTTCAACATGCAAAAGAGAACCATGTGGATAGATTCATCATTAAAAATAATAAAACCGTACTTAGTGATTCTTTTTGCTTTAAAAAAATACCAAAGTGCTTACTCTTAAAAACATGTTTAATTTTGTATAGTAATACCAGCTTATAATTTGCTTATAATATTAATGTGTAGACCAATAGCAGAGAGCACCAAGATATAATCTTTATTCCAGTTAAGTCAGGGTTTTTGTTTGTTTGTTTGTTTTTGGATATTGAGTCAATTAAGTATTGTAATATTTAACACAAGTAGTGTAGATTACATAAATGTGTAATAATACTTGAATTGTTATTTCTACTCTTAATTATGTCTGTGGAATACAGGTTTAAAATAATTTATCAATGTGATTCTTCCAGTTTTCATACCCACTTTATATATTACTACTTTTGAATTAACTTGCAGAAGTATGTTTGTGTTATTTGAATTAAAATGTAACTGTTGAATAATACCATATTTAAAATATCTTCTTTCAGAAACGGATGAACTGAGCTCAACAGATGAGGACAATCAAGACTCTGCACAAGTGAATGGAGTAGATTTTGATCTTTCTGTGCCATCAATGGCTGAAATTGCATCATGTAGTTACGAAGCCAGGTAAGAGGAAATTGCATTTTTTGTTGGTCAGTAGACTTCATGGGTTTTTTCATTCTATGCTTTGTTTCATACCTGTCTCTTGCACATGTAGGTGAGGACAAGAGGAAAAGAGAAAGAGGGTGAAATGCTGTTTAGCTGCAGTTGCTATAAGAGTTGGCTGCTACTATAGATCTCAAGCATATGTGCCATACCGCTTTTCTGATAGGAGTATTTTTGATAAAACATCTTGTCCTTTTTATAGGTTTCATATTCAAGCATATTGAAACAGAACACAACTGTATTTAACATAGTTGCCCTCTCCTTGTTCTTCTCATTTATAATTTATCCTGTTTTTATTTTAGACTATAAATTTATGCCTAAGGCTTTTAGATAACTGATAAATAATAAAGTAAACAAAAGTTTTTATTTCCTTAAAATTATATTTAATTAAAGTTTAGGACAGCAATAGAGAAAAAAAGGATTGGGAAAATAAAAAGTAAGATTCCATAAAGTTAATAATGGAAAGACTGTCTTATATCTCCATAGTGTAAGTGTGTAAGCTGGAATTCCTAGTCTCTTTTTCACAACTCAGCAGTGTTTGGGACATGTCCACTTATCAATAATCACTGAGCATCTTTTGTAAATGTGGCTTACTCTTTTATCATCCATAAAAAGAGTTTATTTTTAGACAACCCCCTTACATATCTCCCTTTTTTCCACGGTCCATTTCTGCTATTTATGTCATCTCTGCCCTCTTTAAGAAATGTTCTTCTTGCGGAACAAGGGGAACATCTCTCTGTTTAGAAGTACAATGTGATACGTCATGTTAAGCCCTGCTAAGTCTTTACCCCTCAGAGATGGAAACATTGGAAAGCAAAGCTCAGAACCCTCCTTTCAGAAAGGGTAGTATTTTCATCAGAGGCCTTGTCCAATCATCAACATTCAAAATCCATAGGCATTCATAAAAGTCTGTTACTTCTACCGTGGTGTTGACTGATGGTACAAAACTGAAGTCAAGATCAACCCCCTTTGCTACTAATAGAGGAAAAAATCTCCATCTTGTCAATCATCTCTGCTGTGACCCATGCTCCAGCTGAGCATTCAGATTAATTTGTAGGGCGTATTTGCAGAGAGAGAGAAAGAGAGAGAGAGAGAGACCAGCTTTCTGCCAGCTGATAAAGGCTTATTTATATAGGCAGAGATTTGGCAATTGACTGGCACTAAGGAACAAGCTTGTTAATACTAGGATTCTTTAGTCTTTTTTATAGTTTACTTTTTATTCAATATTCATTTAAGCCATTTTTAATTCCAGAGTACAAGGTAGAATATAAGTGAGTAAAACAATAAATTCATGGTATCTGCTGAAAAGAAATGCAATGTATTCTAAACGAGTTAAGGGATGGGGAAATGGGATACTTGTTATTAATAGTATATAGGAAGAATAATGGACTTTGCCACTGTTTTTTAACCATTGGGGTAATAAATTCCATGAAAGCATTGACTTCTTTATTATGTGCTTCTGCAAGAATAGCAATCATTTCTGGGATTGTGATCTTCTAAGCATCAATTATTACTTTCCATTAGGCAAGCTGGTGTACGGAATGGAATGTTTTTTGGACAAGCAAAACGATTGTGTCCAAATCTTCAAGCTGTCCCCTATGATTTTCAGGCATATAAAGAAGTTGCCAAAACCATGTATGAAACCCTTGCAAGGTAAATTCTATTATATTAAATATTAAAGAAGAATTGGGGGGAATCTATTCTTTGTTTTGACACCTTCTCACATACGGCCTCAGACTTCTTGTGAATATTTATCTACTAATATAATGTATAGTAGCCTCTGAGTGTATATTTAAACAGTCTGTTTGTAATACTGCATGTTTTGCTTACAGAACCTTTGTGAGAACAGATTCAAGCTTCTCAGCTTTGAACTCTGGCATTTCTGCCTGAAGAACCACAGTGCTTGAAAATCTCAGAGGACTTTTTAAAGCATTTTGTCCTATGAATGACATTTGTGGACTACAAAGAAAAGGGCAAACTATCTGAGTGCACTTGTGGTTCCTGTCTGATATTTCAATACTGTAAAAACAGGTATTTTCCTAGGAATCTAAGGCTAAAACTTCACCTGACTATGGGAGCCAGTTTCTTATTCAGGAATCTATCCTGATTGCATTAGACACACTCTGGGGCACTAGTTAATAACATTAAAAGGGATGTATGGTTGAGGGGAATTAAGCCCTTTCCGCTTCCCTATTGTACTTCCACGGACTTAGTTAATGTAAGCACTTGCGTTCCCAAAACCAGAAGTGATCTGAGGTGGGGGGGAAAGTGCTTGATGTGAGTACAGGTGAATGAATGGCACCTCTCTCTCTCATGTTTTCCCTTGGGTAAAACAAGAAAACTAATTCAGAAAGTAGACACTGTCACTGCCTAGCTTATGTGAGCAGAAGAAAAGTGTATGAATAAATATGACTGTTCCTGCCCTTTTTAGATTAGCCTAGATTATCTCCCTCAATACACACTGTAAGACTTAATTCCTTGGTTTTGATTTAATGTAGCTTTGGAATATTTTGATTCAGATTTATAGCTTAATCACTTGTTACTGTCACAGTATAGAACAAGGGAAATGGACACGATAGAATAAGTATAATAAAGATAGTGAAAATTAACACAAATCAGTAAAAATGTACAGTTGAGTTAAAACTGGGGCATTCACCCAGCAAAATGAATAATTTTCAAATCATAAAGCAATCACAGTTTTGGAGCTGTGTTTAAAATGGATGATGTGAATTTCCAGTTACAGTATGTCTGTTCTGGGTAACTGAGGGTCAAACTCCACAGTATAGGAATGATGCTGTTGGAAGTGGTGTTTATTTATTTTATTTATTTTATTGGAAATGATCTGAATTTCTTCATGGCATGTGTTTTGTCGTACCTTCATGCCTTCTGTTCTATGTCTTGAACTTTGTCTTGAAATTTGTCATTGGAAGATAAGATCTGATAGCATCTGAGGAAATCAGTTTTGGGCAAAATAATAATATATCAGATTCCAAATGCAAGTTGGCCATTTGATGTAGTTAGTCCAAATCAGTTCAAACTTGAAAGGGTACTCGAAACACATAAAGCAGTCAGGTGTTTGTATTATAGGCATATATGTTACCAGGAAATTGGTCTTGGAAAACAGTGTTATCTGTAAGTTTTCCTAAGCAGTGTTGTTGCATTTAAGTTACTTGGACTTGGAATAGGAGAAAAGGGAAGTTGTTTTTCACTAGGAAAACTTTCTGTACTGTGTCTTTGTTTTTAAGCTAAATATATGATGTTGCTGCTCTTCTCTTTCTTTATGTTGTACTCTTAGCTATACTTACAACATTGAAGCTGTCAGTTGTGATGAAGCACTAGTAGACATTACTGAACTCCTTCAAGAGACTGGATTGACATCAGAGGAACTAGCACATGTTATCCGTACTGAAATAAAAAACAAGACCAAATGTCCTGCTTCAATTGGAATAAGTTAGTATATTATTTAGAAATGTGCATAAGTAACAGCATGAGTTAACAAATGCTAATTATTTTAGCATGAAACATTTGTTAGTGCACAGCCTTAAAACTACTGATAGATTTACTTCATCGTAAGAGAACTGAGCAATATACTGGCTACATCTAGTCAGTTCATCATGTTTCTTTCCCCATTCGTGGCCATCTTGGATGTATCTTGTTCCTGCTGTTTACCATGTTTATATATCTTGTTTTCTAGACTGAGAACTCTGCAAAACCACTGTTAAAATGGAATTCCCCTGTTAGCACCTTCCATGATAGTAAGCTGGATTGGAAGATTATACCATATCTTCTGGACACCCTTCTGCTACTAATGGAAGCCTCAGGTCCTTGCTGGTTGTTGGCTCAGCAGTAGGATTAAGATTTCTAGGCCTGGAATGCAGAGGTTCCCTCTGTGGTCTGCCCAGATAGTTTTAAATCAATTCTCCCTAGATAGAGAAGTATCAGTGTCATAAATGAGGATGTCCAGAATTTAACTTGTCCTCTCTGCCACTCTCACCATTGCATTTAGCGTAGTGTGACAGAAATGCTTATATTTCTGTACCAGCAAATTATAGGGAATATGCTTTTTTTAAAAAGGATAATTAGATTTATAACTAAAAATGACCCCTGGCTAGTAAATTACCCAAGTTATAAATAGAATAAAGAAGCCAAGGAGAGCCATAATCCATAATAGCCATCTGATTTTCATCTGTGTGTTTGGGAGATATTGTCTACTGAAATAAGAGGTACTTTTAAATAGTGATATGGGCTCCTTTAGTTGAAATCTGTTGTATCACTTTCATAGGTTCAAATATTTTACTGGCCAGAATGGCAACTCGTCAAGCAAAGCCAGATGGACAGTATCACTTAAAGTCAGAAGAAGTGGATGATTTTATCAGAAGCCAGCTAATTATTAATCTTCCAGGTAAATGTTTATTAATATACTCCTTCCTATTTTTCTAAACAGACTGTATTGCAATTGTTCTTTCCTCAAAGCTATCCTACGAAACACAAATTTGAGAAAATGGTTAGGCCTTAGTAAATTACTGTTGCTATTTTCTTTAAATTAATTTGAGATATGACTGCATACAATACTCTCCAGCATTCAAGTAGTGATTTGACGTGTTCCAGCAGATTAAATAATTAGAGATCCTGGATCCTGGACCAAAATTCCATTTAAAAATATTTATCCTCTGTAAAAGCAAAACTGTGTGTTAAGTGGAAGGCAAAATAAAGAATGATCAAAAGGAATCCAGTAATGTTTTGTCTCTTATAGTCAATTATATTGTTATTGTCATTCTTATACTTTTACTTCTGTAAGATTTTAGAATTATTTTAGATCTCTAATATTTTGTGTTTCTATGTAGATATCAGTAGCAATCTCTGAAAATGGAAATGCTGGAATTTGTTATCATATTTGCTGTAATATAGCCTTCCTAGCAGTCATCTATGTTTCTGACATTAGGTGTGTTAACACATTGGGTTTAAAGAGTGTAATTATGCTTTCTGTTTAAATGGCATTCCTTAGCTGTAGATTTCAAATACAAAATTTTAAAAAAATTATACTTACAGGAGTTGGTAGAACAATGGAATCTAAGTTGTCATCATTGGGTGTTAAAACTTGTGGAGACCTGCAATGTGTCACAATGTCAAAACTTCAAAAAGAATTTGGTCCCAAAACTGGACAAATGCTTTATAGATTCTGCCGTGGATTGGATGATAGACCGGTTCAAAGAGAGAAAAAGAGAAAATCTGTTTCAGCTGAGATCAACTATGGTATAAGATTTACCCAGGTAAAAACATTCCAATCTCTGCTCAGTAATAAATCGGTGTTTCAGAAGAATGTATTCTTTATTTAGCTGCAATTTACGTGTTTTAATTCTTGTCATCTGCTGATAACAGATTGTTATCTTCATGTAGAAGACATAATTTTTTCAAACTTTACTTGAATATAAGTAATGTGTAGCAGTGAATTTCCAAACTGTTTGTGCAACTCCTGGAAGTCCTTAGAAGGTCATTAGGGGCATTATAGTAAGGTGATGAGTAGTGTAAGTCTACTCAGAAGTATCATTGCTCATGGTGAGGCTTATTCCCAAGACATGAACTGGATTGCCACCTAATACTGGAAAAGGTTTGGCTACTATTGCTGACCCACAATGCAAAGCATACTTACCAGCGAATGTTGGGTGGCTGTTACAGTACAATCTTAGTCTACATAGGACCCAAACCACATCTGACTCTTAGAATTCTACATGATAAATATTGGTATATATTTTGCAGCACGCTAGAATTTCTTGGATCCACCTGGAGCAGGTATCTTTGCCAAGAAAACCCCATGAACAGAAACAAAAGGCTAAAAGATATGATGCCAGAAGATGAGCCCCTCAGGTCGGAAGGCATCCAATATGCTACTGAGGAAGAGCGGAGGACAAGGACAAGTAGCTCCAGACCTAATGAAGTGGTTGGGCCAAAGTGGAAAGGACGCTCAGCTGTGGACGCGCCTGGAAGTGAAAGGAAAGTCCAATGCTGCAAAGAATAATACTGCATAGGAACCTGGAATGTAAGGTCTATGAACAGAGTTCTGTCAAGAGAACAAGCTGGTCATTGCAAACACTCTTTTCCAACAACACAAGAGGCGACTCTACACATGTACATCACCAGATGGGCAATGCCAAAATCAGATTGATTATGTTCCCTACAGCCAAAGATGAAGAAGCTCTATAAAGTCAGCAAAAACAAGACCTGGAGCTGATTGTGGCTCTGATCATCAGCTTCTTATAGCAAAATTCAAGCTTAAACTGAAGAAAGTAGGAAAAACCCCTGGACTAGTCAAGTATAATCTAAACCAAATACACAGTGGAAGTGAAGAATAGATTTAAGGAACTCGATTTGGTGGAGAGAGTGCCTGAAGAACTATGGATGGAGGCTTGTAACATTCTACAGGAAGCAGCAACAAAAAACATCCCAATGAAAAAGAAATGCTAGAAAGCAAAGTGGCTGTCCAACAAGGCCTTAGAAATAGCAGAGAAGAGAAGGGAAAGAAAATACAAGGGAGATAGGACAGAAAATTGAATGCAGACTTCCAAAGAATAGCAAAGAGAGACAAGAGGGCCTTCTTAAATGAACAGTTCAAAGATAGGTAGGTAGGCATCCTTCAGTCTCGAAAGACTATGGTAACGTGCTTTGTATGGAGGACTTGGAACAGCGTCTACTGTAGCTGAGGAGGCCAATTCGAGAGTGACAATCTCTTCCACACTGAAGACAAATCCAATCGTCCCTGTCCAGCTCCCTGGTTTTGCTGCTTTTGTGACTTCCTCTTTGCCTCGGCCTGCTGGACAAGGGTCTCTTCAAATTGGGAGAGGCCGTGATGCAACGCCTGCCTCGGGCTGAACGCTCAGATGTCAGAGTTTCCCATCTCTTGAGATCTATTCCTAAGGCCTTCAGATCCCACTTGCAGATATCCTTGTATCGCAGCTGTGGTCTCCCTCTGGGGCGATTTCCCTGCACTAATTCTCCATACAGGAGATCCTTTGGAATCCGACCATCAGCCATTCTCACGACGTGCCCAAGCCAACATAGACGTCGCTGTTTCAGTAATGTATGCATGCTGAAAATTCCAGCTCGTTCTAGGACTACTCTGTCCTGCCAGGTGATACCAAAAATCCGTCAGAGGCAACGCATATGGATGGTGTTCAGCTTCCTCTCCTGCGTGCACAAAGGGTCCAGGACTCACTGCAGTACAGGAGTGTGCTCAGGACACAGGCTCTATAGACCTGGATCTTGGTATGTGTCGTCAGCTTCTTATTGAGACATACTCCCTTTGTGAGTCTAGAGAACATGGTAGCTGCTTTGCCAATGCGTTTATCC